ATTCAACATGTCTCTATTGAATAGCATTCCTGGCGAACAGTCTATGCCCCTCCATGAGGGGTAACACGTGTAACTAAGTGGGCATTAAATACCATAGGAGGACAAAAGTAAGCACAAAACTGGAAATGAAATTTAGATGATTTGCTCTGCCTCGACTCAAAGTAATGACACTTTTTGACGATCCTAGATAAGTCACCACAAATAAAATATGAGCAGCTCACCATCCATTATTTAGAAAGCCTTTGAGACCTATGGAGAACAGTTGATAGAGCGAGTTAGCGCATATATTTTTGGTATGCGGGTTTGAAATTAAGACTTTTTACATTACCTTACCGTAGATTACGAGGTGATTGTAACGACTGAACTTCCAGTATTTGATTCGAACGCAGGACTGATGAACCAAAATTTATTCGAATAGGACAGACTACGTTCTTTTGTATAGCGTACGAAGCGTTTTTGAGATACTCATATTAAATTATATCAAAACACAAACTCTGTGCTTAATTTAAACGGTTCAGATTTAAGAGATAGAACAAATTATATCAAAAATACAAAATACCTCAAACGGTACAGCCTGTGCTATACAGTCAGAAGTTCCTCTGGGGCAAAGTAGTGCGCTAAACAATAAAAGAAACAGTAATACCAAAGGGTTCGACACCTGAGAATCAATAAAAATATTCCTAACAAGATGGGATGTGGTGTTTGAATGAACCAATGATACCTTTGTACTTGTTGAATGCTCGATTTCGAATTCCAAATACAATATATTCGCTTGTGCTCGTGTCTTACTTCTAAATTCAATTGCGTTAATTCTGGGATTCCTAGTTCATACTACAATTCAAATAATTCAAAACATTATATTGGCGTCGCGATGGAGCCTGCAATGGAAAAGTTAGATATTCATTCAACTCCTGAAGCTTTTGAGGATTACTTGGAAAGGTTCGAAATTTGGAGCATGACCAAGAAAGATGATAAAGGTGATAAAATTGTGGCACATTTTCTGACATTCATTGGGAGAGAAGCGTACAGCTTATTAAAAACTTTGGCATATCCAGAAAAACCTATCTCACTCCCTTATGCAACTCTTAAAGAGCTATTATTAAGTCATGTAAAATGCACCAGTTTTGAATGCCGTGAAAGGGCGAAGTTTCATAAGATGGTTCGTCAAAATGACCAAAAGGCTCGGGAATTCATCCTTGAATTACAGAAACAAGCTGCCAAGTGTAATTTCGGTGATCAACTTCATGTGCAACTGAGAGATCGATTAATTGCAGGAATTAACATACCGAGTTTGGAAAGAGAGCTGTTAAAAATGCCAAACTGTTCCTTTCAAGATGCTAGAACTGCGTGTATTAACTACGAAGCAGTCAATGAACTTGATATCCAGTCGATGAAGATTTCTAATACTTTGCTTAGTCGTCGTGATGAACTACAATCTCAGGGTCAATCAAACTTGCGTTCATTTAACAGTGATTCCTATTCTCGTGTAAATATGAAAGGTGTTTCAACGAGGAATTACAAAGCAAATCACAAAGGTGAGATGAAGTTTGGTAAATGTTTATCATGTGGAAAGTTTCATGCTCGCAATTCATGTGTATTTCGTAATGCTAAATGTTTTAAATGTGGTAAGGTAGGACACATTCAGTCAGTATGCAAAGCTACTGTCCATTTTGCTTCAAGCTGTACTAAATCTTGTAATTTAAATTTCAATAATTCGGATGTTTCTAGTGATCATTTATCTTTGTCTACTATTTCGAAAGGTAATGCTCATATTCAAAAGCGACTATATACATCGCTTGGTTCATTTCATGACTTTATTCTGGACACAGGCAGTATAGAGTCCATTATTTCATTCAAGAACTTGAAATCTTTAGATCCTAACGTTGTTGTACGACCCACTGAAGTATCAATATTGGGGATTACTGGACACAGACTGCCCATACGAGGATGTTGTGAATTGCTAATCAGAGATGATAATTCTTCATACATACCTTGTGAATTTTTAGTTAGCGAAACAGGACTGTCAATATTGGGTTTAAAGAATTTGAAAAGGCTTAAGGTGGAGTTGTCCTTCTAGTTTCTAAAGAAAATTCTGATACTTTACTTAAAGATTTGATAGCTATGTGTGCTAAGTGCAGTGGAGGTATGAAAATTAAGCCTATAAAACTTCAAGTACAGGGTGATCCCGTCTTTCTTAAAAGACGAATAATTCCTTATGGTCTTCGAGAAGCAGTACATAAGACATTAAACGATTTGTGTGTGAAAGGCATAATTGAACCAATTCAGTCTTCAGCATGGGGTACTCCTATCGTTACGCCACTGAAGTCGGACGGCAAGACCCCTAGAATTTGTGGTGACTATAGATTAACTCTGAATTCCCGTTTGTTGAAGCAAACGTGCACGACGGTAGAAGCTGAAGATATTCTAAATCGACTTCATGGTTCTAAAGTGTTCTCGAAAGTTGACCTAAAAGATGCTTATCTTCAAATTCCTTTAGATGAATCTTCATCTATTTTGACGACAATTAACACTCCTTTTGGTCTGTTCAAATACAATTTCCTTCCATTTGGTCTAAGTTGTTCTCCAGCCATATTTCAGGAAGTTATGAATAAAGTAGTTAGTGATCTTGAAGGTGTTGAAGTTTATCAAGATGATCTCATTGTTCATGGTTCTAATAAGGTAGTTCATGACCAGAGACTTATTGCTTTATTGCGTCGTTTAATTGAGAAGAATATTACAGTGAATCCAAATAAGTGTTCATTTTGTGTATCTAGTTTTGAATGCCTTGGATACCTAGTTGATGGTAATGGTTTTAGACCAGATATGAAACGACTAGCTCCACTGACTAATGCACCGTCTCCGAAAAATCTTACAGAATTACGTTCACTAGTGGGTGCTCTTCAATACTATTCCCGTTTTATTCCTAATTTTTCTTGTCGTGCAAATTGTTTATTTAATATTTTAACATCCAATTCATTCAAATGGAGTGAGGAACAAGAGTCATGCTTACGAAGTCTGCTGAAGTTTCTTCAAAGTGATGCTGTTCTTCGAACGTACTCCCCTAATGTACATTCTGTGCTTATTACTGATGCATCACCTGTGGGAATTGGTGCAGTTTTGGAACAGGAAGGTAGACCAGTTATTTGTGTTTCACGCAAACTTACTGTTACTGAACAAGGTTATTCACAGACTCAGCGAGAAGCATTAGCTGTGTTTTGGGCTGTTAAAAGACTTCATAAATATTTATTCGGAAAGAAATTCACTATTGTTACTGATCATGAAGCTTTAAAGTTTATTTATCATCCCGAAAAATCCTTAGCACGTTCCTCAGCAGCTATGGTTCAGCGATGGAGTATTGCTTTGAGTGCATATGACTATACGGTTCAGCACAGAAGTGCCAAACAGATTCAACATGTTGATTACATTTCTCGACAGTCATTACAAGATAAACCTATTAATACTTCGGATTGTTTGTTAGTGCAACCTTTACCAGTGAGACGTTCAGATCTCATTAGAGAAACTCGTAGATATTTTGGATGTATACTCAGTGCTATAAGGAAAGGTTGGAATGCTAATTTGAAACGTAGATTTCCTATCTATTTTTCAAAGCGGGATGAGCTATCTACTACTCCTGATGGTATTCTGTGTTTAAATGATCGTGTTGTCATTCCTCCTTCATTGCGTAAATCTGTTCTTGAAGATCTTCATAGTGGTCATTTAGGTGTTGAGAAAATGAAGTCCTTGGCAAGGCTCACATGCTGGTGGCCAGAGATAAATGCAGATATATGTCGTACGGCAAACAATTGTGAGAAATGTCATCAGTTGAAAAATCATCCTTCGAAGTGGGTGCCATGGCCAGTATCGTCTGAGGCCTGGCAGAGGATTCATGCTGACTATTGTGGACCATTTCTTGGTAAATACTACGCACTAGTAGTCATTGATTCTTTTTCAAAGTGGCCTGAAGTTTTTTTCACAACTTCACCAAATTCTGATTTCACAATACAAGCATTAAGAAAGGTGTTTAGTCGAGAAGGGTTCCTATGGTGTTGGTGACTGATAATGGCTCACATTTTGCTGCAGATGCAGTCACTACCTGGTTGAACGGTATAGGGTGCAAACATTTATTTACTGCTCCCAGACATCCGTGTTCTAATGGTCAGGCAGAGAATTTTGTTAGGACATTAAAGACTGTTATTGATTCCATAGCCCCCTTAACATTTAATGAGCTGGAGAGGGGAGTAGATACCTTCCTATTGCAATATAGAAATGCCAGACATTCGGTGACGAAGGAGACTCCAGAGAAGCTATTGAAAGGAAGAATTCTTCGGTCTAATATGAGATGAATAAGAACTTTCGTCTAAATTTGAACGAATAGTTTCAAAATATTTGGGCGCCGAGTTAATTTGAGACATTAAAAAGCAGAATATATTTGTAAAATCTCAGCGAATGAATTTTAAGTAAATCCAACGTTTCGCCTGGCAATCTGGTCCAAGCTTTTTCAAGGAAAATATAATCAAACAACAAAATTATCGAATATAAATAGTCCACCAAGAATTTGGGTAAGATACGTAGATGATACCTTTGTCATCATAAAACGAGATGGCTTAGACGAACTATTCCAACGGTTCAACAGCTTAGATGACAAAATCAAGTTTACTAAAGAGTTGGAATCGACTGAACGCAGATTACCGTTTCTAGACTGCCTGGTTGAAAGGAAGGATAATGATTTTTTAAAAATTAATATATTCCGTAAGCCTACATATTCAGGGAAATTTTTAGATTTTAAGTCTGCGCACCCACACGCGACCAAAGTGACAGTGGCCAAAAATTTGATCACCAGAGTCAAAAAACTTGTCACTGAACCAGATGGTATAAAAATGGAAATGAATTTAGTTGTATCCACTCTATTAATGAATATTTATCCGAAAGGTTTTATTAAAAGAATAATTAAGAATGAAGAACGGAATGATATTTAAAAAAAAAGAGTTAAGCAAGATTGGATGAATACAGTAGTGATCCCATATCGTAAAGGTATCTCAGAAGACATCAGAAGGATTTTAATTCGTCAAAATATAAGAGTATTCTTTCGAACAAACAATACTCTAAGATCAAAACTAGTAAAAATCAAAGATCCAATACACAAGGATGATCAACAAAATTGTGTTTATGAAATCAAATGTAATGATTGTAATGCAACGTATGTAGGTGAAACATCAAGACAACTGAATGTGAGGGTGAAAGAACACAAACTGTGCTTAAAGCATATTCCTAAATCCTCAATTGATGTAAAAAAGCTTGAGAACAGATCAGCGATAGCATTACATTCAATTGAATCGGGTCATACAGTTGATTTCAATGGCACGAGAATCATTCAAAAAGGATTTAATTCTTACAAAGAACGCCTAACAGCTGAAGCCTTACATATATGGGCTAATTTAAACAATATTAATAGGAGAGATGGAATACAACTAGCTGCACCATGGCAACTAATAATTAATAAGTAAACCTGATCTCCTTTTTGCCATTTGATATATTTATGCCATAGTAACTAATTGATAGATAATACGTTCAATGATTCAAATCCGTTATCTTATCTGAATATGTTAAACAATTGACTGGAACATTTTTTAAAATAACACACTTCAATTACATATACATTCCTCGTTTATTTATTTTGTTTACTTATCTTCATTTAATGCAGGCTGTAGCATTTTGATTCATTTCATACATAAAAATGATTTGTTTTCTTAATATACACAGACCGTAGTCAATATTAAGTTGAATGAAAATTTTTTCTCATATCACTTGCGTATAAACACATTCTGTTATTTTAACACGTTTTGGTTCCATAACACATACAAAACAATTTGTCATAACCTTAAATTTACCTTATAATCCTTAAGTCATTCTATGGCCTAGGATAACATGACAATTTCTTATTCTTTCTCTCCCCTTCATTATTTTCAAATGAACTTTTATTTTATTTGTTTGACCTTTATTATTTTTCATATAAACATGTCTCTTACACATTAATACAAATACCTATTTATAAAGAAATCCTTCACGTCGATTGGATGACTTATTCAGTGTACAGTAAACCGAAGAACCATGTACCTATTTATATTCGATAATTTTGTTGTTTGATTATATTTTCCTTGAAAAAGCTTGGACCAGATTGCCAGGCGAAACGTTGGATTTACTTAAAATTCATTCGCTGAGATTTTACAAATATATTCTTCTTTTTAATGTCTAATATGAGATGTTTGGAGTCTGCAGAAGTTACATACTATCGAGGAAATGCTCTTCGACCATCTACGGGTATTGTTCTGAAGAATGTCGGAAAATCGATGCTGCGAATTCTAGACATCGACGACTTAAGTACACACAGTCGACATGTATATCAAATACAATTTCAGGAACCAGGTGAGTCAGTTCCAATTTTGATTGTTAATTCTAATGCTAATGAGCATATTCTGGATAATACAGAATCCTTATCCAATACAATGTCAGACAGACTCAGGATGAATTTGAGAAGAAGACGTACGATTGATTACAAACACCTAGACTCCAATTTAAGCTGTGGCGGATGTGGTGTTTGAATGAACCAATGATACCTTTGTACTTGTTGAATGCTCGATTTCGAATCCCAAATACAATATATTCGCTTGTCCTTGTGTCTTACTTCTAAATTCAATTGCATTAATTCTGGGATTCCTAGTTCATACTACAATTCAAATAATTCAAAACATTATATGGGATCAAATATCTATCTACAGGGATTCCAGCAATCCTCCCAAGCAGACAGTCAATAGGTTAACAGCCACACAATGAACCACACGACCTTTTTGTTAGTAGTGCGGCAACATGCAATGAAAAATTAGGTAACAAAAGATAAATCTTTAATCAAAATCACACAATAAAAGATCAGACGAGGAAGACTGAAGAACAAAAGATGTGGTTAAACGAGATCTGAACAAAGAATGAAATACACGACAAATAAATGACAGTACTGTCCAACAAAATGCTGCGGAGTGATTTTCATCGTTCTCTTTCCGTCACAGTGATTGAATTGTGGTTTTCGGGATATCCGGAAGTGAATTTCTGTTCACTGTGTTTCATTTTATGCTGGATTAGCTATTCTACTAAGATAACTTATGACATGCTAACTCGGACTTTTACACTAGGATTGTGTTGCTGGCATTGGATGGACGAAGAAAGAAAAGAAGGAAAAAATTAGACAATAAAAGATATAGTCATTAGTATTCTTAACATTTCACCCACTATATCCACACTCCCTTATAATAAATCGCTTTCCTTGTACCAACCTTGACTTACCTTCCTTCATGTGAGCTTAATCCAACTTGTTAAACATCACAACTCATTGTTCTTTATTATTACATTCTCTTATATAGAGCCTCTGACTTCATTTCACTCTAACAAGAGATAATATGAATTTGTTCTGATTTATTATACCTTTGTCTGTTCTACTACACAATGTTAAGCAACGTTTGGCGTTCATATCTAAGTGCCTTGCTGACGTCTGGAACAAACTTAACGTACGCATCTCCTCAAGGTCATGGTTTATAGCAAGCGCTCTACGAGTCTACTTTATACCGACTATAAACTTAATAAGTTGGGAAGTATGCTATGCGCCAACAAATGTTGTAATTTATAGATCATGTCTGTAAAAATGGCGTGTACCTGCTCATGCACAAATATATTGTTATAATCTTTTCTTCTACATGGTTATAGGTAATCTCGGAGTTATGGCAGATCACTTCGAAAGCCAACAACGAACAAAGTTCTCGCGGTAAGCATATTTTACAGGATTAACTAAATCATTGAAACTGATACTGAAGGAAACCATATGCTAGCACTCAGCCGACCTGCTAAAGAAAATACTAAATACTAGGAGTGGCTTGCTAGCAAAGAATTGCACGGGCTTGAGACCTTAAGTTCTCATAAAAATCTGAGGCTTGAACCTCTGCCCATACAAAAGTAGCTACAGATACCACAAGTATTCGGCGTTAGACAATGCCTTTACACCCAACACATTTGTGATTGAAATATGGCAACGCAGTCAATTAAGAAGTTGTAAATGAAGGATTTCGATGATATATCTGGAAAAATATCGGTATGTCGAGGGACGTCTGGTTTAGGCTGGCTAACAGTGCCCACCTGTGATATGGTGTGACTGCGTACCCGAGCACCTTCAGCTAGGTGTATCCATTCCCTAGCGTCAACGCTGAAGACCTGCAAAGCTAATTATTTTGAGGATTTATTTTCCTCTACCGCTCACTACCTCCCTAGTGAGATAGTGATGACCTGGGACTTGGCATTTCAGAAGTTTAAATCCAATGGGTTCGTCATTGGCAAACGCTTTTCTGATAGCCTGCTATGTCCAGAAGCGTCTGGTTGTCTTTCCTTACTATAAGAGGCCATGTGGTACAATATGGTAATGGAGAGTATTCTGAAATTTCCAATCCATCGTAATCTTCGCCAGTTTTCATTTTTTTTTCGGGAAAGAAAAAAGGATATGTAAGGGCATATGGAATTGCACTAGTATGTGCCTTAGAACACAAAACGGGCGAAAAAGCAAAAAAGAGCGGTATATATACGTTTGGAAAATACGTGTGAAAACACTTGCTCAATAATGTTTTGGATTTTTCAAGAAAAGATACACATTTATGGCCATGCTGGAAAATGTTGTTTTCGGACACAACGAAACAAACAAACGAGATAAAACCAAATTTTATGCACTACCCTATGCACAGTAACTGATCAAGTGTACCAAAAACGCAACCTTATTCCAGAGCTCGTTGCTCCAAGCCGGATATCAATGTCCGCGGATTTTCGCCGCGATTGTTGATTATCAGGTTGATTATCGTGGTTGTCAGGCTCGTATCATTCAAGTGTATGGGAGGAAAATCAACATTGCTGTGGTTTATTTCCAAATACGCGACTTAAAGATGGTCAATCCAGATTTTATAGTTGATTCCACCTTTGTAGATTATACGGTGTTTAGGTCTGCGATGAAGGAGTTTGACATTTCTTCCGTATGCCATTCGAGAAATCTTCGAAGTGAGTCGTTGCTTATAAAAATGTGTACTATATTGTGGGGTGGGCTGAACGAAAACACCCGTTGACCGTGGTCGAGTGGAAACAGGCTCAATGGAACTCATGGCGTTTGTTAGCCTGCTGGTGTAGGAGTTTATATCCATATTCATTGAAGAAAACAATGGATCCACGGACTCTCCCGGAAGTCAGTGTAACATTCCATAAACGAGTTGTGCCACAGCATTGTGAATGCCAAGTAACACGAGTAAAAGACTCTCAGTCCACTCTGAAAAGTTTTCAGTTGACAGTGAAGCTTTCAATTGTTGGTGGGAATCCTGTTATATGCTTTCACTAGGTAGATTTGAGGAAAAATTAGTTGTACCTTTTAAGGTAGCTGTCAAATTAGGAATGTGCGGCAACGGGTAACGATATGGACTGGTTTTCGTGTTAAATCGGACTCCAGTCATTGCTATCTTTTCTAGGAATCGTGTGCAAGGGAGATGCTCATGGGCTTTTTAATGGACGGATAATTCCCAAGTGTGTCTACTGGTTGAATTCATTCTTATCCAACCTAAGCCTTTCGAAAGTACGGATAGTTCTATAGTCGTGATGTGGTGTGTAACGTTAGAGGTTACACACGATTATTTTGGTGGCGTTTGGTATAGTTCGGGGTATTCATCAGTTATTTGTTGATAGAATGGATCGATTATGTGCCTTAAAGTGAAGGGGATAAACTACAACCGAAAGAGGAAGTGTTGACGAGTAGATTATGGTTTTGAAACAGGTCTGTACCAATGACTGTCATAGAAACATCTGTAACAATGAAATCCGGTGAATTTGTTTGCATGATCCCACGTTAAGATACACATATCGTTTACCGCAAATGGCAGTCGGTTCGTTGTCTGAAAATTGAAAGCTGCTTCGTGAAGCAGGTTGTTAGAATGTGCTGGAAGAACTCTAGTTTCCTCGCCAGTGTCGAATTTTCGTCGCCACATCAGTGATGTGCAGCAGACGGCTATGTTCACACGTAGCCGTAAATACGTGTTGTCAGTGGAGTGTCCTCAATGGTTTTTCGGATGGGACTGTTCGAACCTCGAAAAATTGCAAGGTTTTCTGTAAGTTCGAGAAACTTAGCGTACATATTGTGGTACCAGCATCAATCTGGATTATCTGCCCTTGATTGTCTAGGTACAGATCTTTTTGTGAGAAGCTTCTAATCGTCAACGATTATGATGAACATTATAACGAGTGAGAGTATGACAGAGGTCCGTAACGTCGTCTTGTGTTGTATAATGCTTTTATTTGACTGAGTAGACCTCGACGCTGGGGATTCTCGTGCTCATCAGAATTCGGTCGGCAGTTTGTCTACAGAGCTATTTTAAAATTAGACAAGAGTCGCCCGTACTTGTTGATGAAGCTTGGATTAGAAGGACTTTCTAACCAGGCCCTCGTCAAAGGTCCGTTGACCAATGACCCATCTCATGCGTAGCAACGTTTCTAGTGCTAAGCCATGCTGTAGGTCAGTGTTATGAAAATGTTGGTCCGACGTTCGTTGGTTGGTTAGGTCTCTTAATTTAAGGAAAAATTTTTAAAGTATCATAAGGTTAGGAAACGTCACTAGTAAACGTGCTTGGTGTGATGTACCTGTTAAGATCACACAGTAGTGCCTTTGCTACCTTAAGGAATTATGGACGTGTGTCTCACTCAGTGTCCGCGAAAGTCAGCTGCGTAGCGGAATCAGGCTTCTATATTATCGGTCCAAAATAGTATTAGCTGAAATGGTGGAGGTCTTTTCCATCATAATAAGTACAAAGTATACTAATGAACAGGAAAAATATCCGAAAATGTGGAAACAATATCGCAATGTTTAACAAATGACAAGAAATAATATATGATGTTCCGTCAGGAAACGGGCTGAGTTTGAGAACAGGTGTACTAGATTACGTTAAGATCACTACTGATGATGCCGCAAGTATTCGGATTTTGATAACGCCTTTACGCCCAACACCTTTATAATCGAAATATGCCAAACCAGTCAAATCAGAAGTCAGAACTGAAGAGGTTCGAATATATATTTGAATGTCTGTCGATATATCAAGCAGCGTTCTATCTAAGCTAGCAAACGGTTGCCAGAGATGCGTAGCACAACGTACCCACTTGTGATCTGGTGTGAATGCGTAACCGAGTACCTTCAATTATATGCATCCAGTAAAACGAATGCGGTCAGCATCAAATGTTGAAGACTTTCAAAGCTATTTATTTTGAGGATTTATTTACCGCTACACAGCTGTAATAAAATAGAAATAAGATTTCTTCGAAGACAGTTTTGTTCGTGACTTTTTCAACAGTGTGATGTGCAGATTGATGTATATAGTGGTTTATCTCAGATCGCTAGTTTGTTTGAGTGAGTTGGAGTCAAGCACAAAGTGGCGGGTATCTTCGCAGCCGATTTTGTTTGGCCGACTGTTTTTCTTGGTTGCTGATATTTGAAATGCATCTATTTCTTGTCTTTAATTAACTACAAATGGATTTACAAACGGTTTATACGGAAGGACATGTCTTCAAAGAAAATAAATTGAAGTTTGCTAAATATTCGGGGTTTCCCAGATATTCAGAGCTTGTTAATATTCAGAAACAGTTTGATCGACCAAAAGATGAGAACGATTTGTATCCTGCTCGGAATGGGATCCATATTATCCATAAAAAGAGGAAAGCAGACGACGCCAATTTGCAGATTCACGATGGCTCTTCTGCACCGAGGTTACACCGCTTGCATGTTCCTTCTTCTCCTAGTGGTCATTTACATGGTCATTTGGGAGCTCATGTTGGCTCGTTTTTACAGCATCAGACATGTACTTACAACGCATCTGATATCTCTGCAATAAATGCCTCAATAACTGACATCTCAAGTAGTGCTATACAGTTCTCTAGTATGAATACGCTGCCGGCTGCAACCACAAAGGCGAACTCAAAGCTAACTACAACTGAAGGTGACTATGCCATAGTTGTCGGGGAGATGCTCAATTCTGGTGGCGAGGCATATGAAGTTCTTTCATTTCTCGGGCGAGGAACTTTCGGCCAGGTTGTCAAGTGCCGCTGTCGATCAACGAGTCGCTATGTAGCTATCAAGATATTGAAAAATCTACCTTCCTATTTAAGGCAAGGCAATATAGAGATTCAAATTTTGCAAACACTGGCTCAACAGGATACAGAGTCTCATAATATTGTCAGGGCGATTGAGTGCTTTCAACATAGAAACCATATGTGTTTCGTGTTTGAGTTATTGGATCAAAACTTATATGAGTATCTCAAGTCAAATAAGTTTCGTCCACTGACGCTTCCTGAGATCCGCCCCATTTCTCAGCAGGTTCTTACGGCCCTATCAAAGTTAAAGACTCTTGGTTTAATTCATGCTGATTTGAAACCGGAAAATATAATGTTAGTGAATCCAAACTCAGAAAACATGCGTTACAGAGTCAAAGTAATCGACTTTGGTTCTGCATGCCATAGCTCCAAAGCTGTTCAAAATACTTACCTTCAGTCACGTTACTATCGTGCTCCTGAAATCCTTCTGGGCTTGCCTTTTGATGAAGCAATTGATATGTGGTCACTGGGATGTGTTTTAGCTGAGCTTTTCCTCGGCTGGCCTTTATATCCTGGTTCATCTGAATATGATCAAGTGAGTTCTAAACATGTTTGTGTTTCATTTAAGTATTAGTTTGGGAATTTGCTCATCAAACATACCTAGCATGTCACGACACTGAAATGCTTATAGCGTGTTAAGTTAACCGCAGATTATATGTGTTAGCTGTCTGAATCTTGTTTGTATATTTTTCATTAAAAAAACACTTCATTACGTAGTGATTGTCAAGGGATTATTACTACACGCTAAAGTCTATTCTTGAGGGGAATAGTACTCTTCTATGGTACATCTTTTGTGTGAAATATTGGCGTTGTAATTGTTGCTTGCACCCTAAACGTCGCGGATTCTAGTGGCAGCTTACTCCGGTTTGGGTGCCTGGATAATATTATTGGCCCAATAAGTTAATGGTTCAAATTACAGTAATAGAACAATTACTTAGTGAGTGAGTTATGTACTCCAATACGTGAAGAAGTTCTTGTGTGTCGAGTTAGATATATTAAGGATGAATTACTTATTCATTTAGTGACCAGAAATTTGAATTCAGAAAATAAATCATAATCCGAAAATTCGGTTTTTATGTCACCAATGAATAATTTTGTAAGTGAGCATCATAGAGCCTTTGTAAACCGATACGTTTTTACTTTTCTATTTGGGGAGATGTACTTATAAGAAGTTGAAATTCTGGGATTGTAGGTGCGTGTGGTTTTACTCAAATAAAGTATAGAGATGTAATAGATAACTTACTAGTTGCGCATTCTCGTGCTGCTTTGAGCCACATTTATTTGAGGTCCAACGACACAAATAGTAGTCATCTTCTGTGTGTATGATGATGGGAATTATAATGACTTAGATCGATGTGGTTTTATGTTAGATCCAGTCAGTTAGTTACAACGTAGGACCAGGCACATATGTACATCGGTCCAAGTTGCCACACCTCATTAGCACAAGATGAACTCCAGATTCATAGTAGTTAGTTCAGTGGTTGTAATATATAAAAGAAAGATTGCATATAAGGACATAGTACAGGAAGAAAGAATTAGTTCGTAGAAAGGAAGATATGAAGCGATTTTAATCTCACGGTTTAAGGGAAGATAAAGAGTATACACTACACCATTGTGATAGATTCTGAGCCATGTCAACTAGTCTCCAACCATTGGTTACGATAGTTAGATCCATTGGTTACTGCTATTGTCACTTGAAATGTTTTGTCGTTTTCCTCAAACTGCTGTGTGCCATTTGCGTTTGCCTCGAATATCATTGCATTACTCCTTCCTTGCTTGCTGAGTTATTAATTTTGCTCGTTCGTTACGTAAACCCTTCAGTGTCGCGGAAAATATTCGCGTAGCTGTTTAGCTTTGTAAGTTCCTTACTTTACACCAACTAACTACTATGTTCACAACAATTTGAGGTGACGTTAGTCTTTTAGGAATAGAATTTCATTCCTATATGATGTCACTACATATTAATACTAGTAAGCTATGTATTTTTAAAATTAGCGGTACTTCGCCATCTGGATCTAAGTAGATGTACATGGGGGCACGAATTACCTATCGGTTTACAAAACACCATTTTGACTTCGATGAAACTAATCCCCATTATCCACTCTGATTAACCTACGAACCTCTCGAAGACTCGTCTCAAAAAGTTCTTTTACCAGAGTAGCTACATGATATTTGGGTCTATCCGTAGTCCCTTACTTAACACGATTTTGTTCGACTACAAGTCTTTCATGTCATAGAATGTTATTTGAATATTTCACAGTAGTATTGTCAGCGGTCGCTGACTACTGAAATATGACAGTTTTATAATTAGTATTTGAAGATGTTCTTGTTGACTGCTTCTGTTTCCATGAATCAGTCCCATAAACCAACGAAAACTCCCAATTTCAAGCTATTTAATCGCAATCGGCTACAGTAGCAACCTGTAGGTCCCGAAAAAGTCTGTCCGAGTTTCATAACTGCTGTTAGTGCGTACCGGACTTCCTTCTTTTTGGAATTGGAAAACTCAACACCCGGCTGCATTTTTGTGATTACAAACTTTAGTAGATTCGCTTGCCTAGCTGAAATGTAAAGAAGCAGTTACTCCAAAAATCTCGAGTCCTAGAATAGTAAGGTACCGGTTAGTAATATGCAGTGTAATATCTAGCACTTGTGTGCATCGGTTCTAATTGCCACATTACATCACAGCAAGGCAAAACTATCATGAGGATTATCACATTACTAAAAGCATTAGCTAAGTCACTAGTAATAAAAGAAAGGCTTGGATATAGGAGAAAATTAATGGGATTTCAATAATCAATATTTGTCGAAAGACCAAGACAGTACGTCCACGCCATTGTGATCGGTCTTGAACTGTATCACTTAAGCCTCGGACTTTTGATTGCAATAATTACACAGACCCCAACCAGGTAGTCTGCACTTATCTGCGTTACTCACTCCACTTGTCATTAATTTTATGAATTGATGCCACATTTTGGTTTGATCAACCCAAGCTTTCTTTTATCTCGTAAACCAGACAAAATTTCTCTTTGAGGTAACCGGTGGATTTGCACAAGTAATACATATATAACCACCTAGGCTGATCATGATATACTTCATCAACTTATTCGTCATCCTTACGCAGTACCCTATTCATAACCTCAGTATTGGTCACTTGGTAGTACGTTGATGTTTATTAATTTTTGCTTAAGTCAGCTACAACGTGAGACCAGGCACATATATGCAACAGTCCAAGTTGCCACACCTCATTAACATAACAAGATGAACACCAGATTCATAAAAGTAGTTACCTCAATGATAGTAATGTATAAAAAAAGCCCGACCGAAGCTGCTACCTTGACGCGGTGGTCGGGCTTGCCTATCGTGATGACCCAACCGAGCTATATTGGCTGGAACATATGTTCCTGTAGGTTCTACCATGCCAGGCAGGTCGATTAAAGAACGGTAAGACTAAAAGCAGCAACTCAAGGTCTGAGGGCGAAGTCGTACTGCTGACTGTAGAGGTGTGTGACGGCAGCAAAGTGTTTCCCTCGGACAACCAGCATCTGCAGCGATGCTGCCTTCCCACAAGGACGGGTGGGGTTAGAAAAGGTCGACCCTAAAAATGTCACATCTCACCTTACCCACGGATTTCCGTCTCCGGCGGTAAGACCCTTTGAAGAATGGAGCTAACACATTAAAAACCTTCCACGAAAAGGCCGTACGCGACCAGCCTCAAGCAGTTGTCCCTTGGGCTCTGCGGTCACGCTCCCAGGTCTTTAAGACCAACACTAATACAACTTTCTTTTCAGGTTCCTCAAGAAATACCCTTTCACGGTGTGGGCAGCCGGGAAGTGACACAGCCCTCATACCGTAACAACACGAGACCAAGTTGGTCACATTGAATGTATAAAAGGATATAATACAGGAAGAAAGAATTAGTTCGTAGAAAGGTGAAAAGTAAGTTTGATCTCATAGTTTAAGGGAAGACAGTGTGCATACACCTACGCCATTGTGATCGATTCTGAGCCATGCCACCTAGTCTTCAACCATTAGATATGATAATCACACGGACCACAACCAAGTAGTCTGTATCTACCAACATGGCTCAGACTAGAAGTTAGTGACTTTATGGACAAATGCCAAGTTTTGGTTTGGCCGTCTCTAACTTTTTTCCATCCGTCTCCAACACTAGTCAGCATTGCGCGTCGTGGTAATCGGTGGTTTGGCATGCGTAATACGTTGTCCAACCATCTCAGTTGATGAAGATATACAACCTCATCAACTGATTTATCATCATTCTCTAATACCCTTTGCTTAACCTCACTGTTATTTACCCCTTGATCCCAGCAGATGCGAGCAATATTTCTAAGACATCTGTGGTCAAATACTAGTAACTCACGGGTATCTTCTACTCTCAATGGCCACGTTTCGCAGACGTCAAGTAGAACAGAACGAACTACTGGACAGTATACTCGTCCCTTAATTGATAGACGGATATCTCGCCTTCGCCATAAGTGACAAGTTGGCAAAGGTCAAACGACCTTTCTAAATCCATGCAGAAATTTCATCAGACACCAACCGATTAGGGCTAATCAGACTTCAAGATAATTGAGGTTGTCGACGCGTTCGACTACTTCACTCCCTATCCTTAGTTCAGGTGTTGACGCAGGCCAATCCTGAAGTGACAACTTGCATTTAGGGGTGGGACGCATCCCTAACATCCTAGTGTTGTTCAGCGCTACCAAGACTGCATTTCCATCAACAGGACTATGTCATCTGCGTATTCTAAGTTGATAAGTGAGTCTCCTGGTAGGAGATCGATTCCTGAAAATCTAGACGATGAGAACGTTATTTCCGGCAGTAGGTTTATGATGAAATTAAACAAATAGTGGACAGTCTTTCTGGACACCACTTGAGGTTGCAAAATCAAATGAAGGTTCACCATAAGCTCTGAATCGACTGGTAGTGTTGGAGCAAGGAACCTTCACAACAGTTATGTACTTCTGAGGTTCACCTTTCAATGACAGACATTGCCACAGAACCTCTCGGTCTACAGAGTTAAGTGTCGCTTTTAAGTCAAGAAAGATCACCATTGTCGGACGCCGATAAGCATGCCTCAGTTCTATGACTTGACGATAGTGAATATGTGGTCGATGCATCCACGACCAAGTCTGAAGTCAGCCTGATTCTCTCGTGTTTGCAGTTCACGCGTCTTTTTTAGGCGCCCGATAATTATTGAGACTAGTATTTTAGATGCTGTTTTTGCTTGGGAGTGTTGAGTTAGACTCAACAGTAAAATTGATATCTATTTTCTCATACATTTTGTAATAACAAATGAAGTACTTTTATAGTAGTATAATATCACCACTAATTTCTTTGATTTACTTTGACGTTTCCAAATTTAGATGAGATACATAGTAGAAACTCAAGGTTTACCCCCTTCTGATATGTTAAAAAATGCTGGAAAATGCAACACATTTTTTGTACGTGATCATTATCGATGTGATTGGCGGTTAAAGACTCCGGAAGAATATGCTTCTGAAACTGGTCAGCAAGCTAAAGAGGCTAGGAAATATTTCTTCAATTCTCTAAATCAAATCCGTGATGTAAATGGACATTCTGCGTCTGACGAATTAGACCTTGATATCGTCGATCGCCAGCAATTTACCTATCTTTTAACGGAGATGCTAAAAATGCGTCCATGTGATCGAATAACACCTGATGTGGCCCTTCAACATTCGTTCGTAACTATGACTCACCTTCACTGTCAGCCTTTCGCTAAACGGTAAGTTTGTATTCTGTTTATTCTAACAGTAGTAGTTGTCACAAGTATATTTTACTTTGTACAAGCATTTGTGTTTGAATCTTTTCAATAACATAAACTATTTGTAAGGATGTAAGTTAATCGATCTGTACTATTGGCTTCGATAAACACCAATCAAATGATAATTACTATTGGAAAAATTACTCTTGCTTCAACTTTCAGACATATCATACTCACAATCATTTGATAACTTTTTGTTTCTTTTGTACATCACTTATCTACTACCTTTTATTCTCATTTTGTGTATTTTATTTCCCAACTTATGCAGCCGCTCGCCTATGATGGAGATCCAGTTCTATCTAAACGATCTTAAGTCATTGACTAGTCAGAAGTTGAATGCTACCACCAACTACGAATACTGAACCAGTCTTTCTAAAACCACGTTTATCATTCAAACTGTCCTCCCTCAACGTTCTCATATTAATGCAGATAGGGTTGGCTATGTCTAGAAAGTCTTAATATCGACGTCTGTTGTCTATTCAAGACTCGTATTCAAAACTATTGGAGTACTACGAATTCGCTCTCCATCTGTCGCTTCGAAAAGCTTGTTTTACGTTCGTTTATCCGGGAACTCGGTGACATTGTCTGGTTTTGCTGGCGTTGGTGTCGCACTAAGCGCTAGAGCTGAGGCAGCTCTAATGGATCGGATCCCCATTAGCAGTCGGTTATGTGCTGTTACATCTAAGAGAAGAAATCAATGTGAGAAACGATGTCTTTTCGTCATCTCCGCCTATGTTTTGACAGATTACAGCCCGGATACGACCAAGGATGAGTTTTACCACCAGTTAATGGTTTTTTTTACAAAAAGTGCGTTTTACAGATATTGTAGTACTAGCCGGAGACTTGAATGCTTAGGTCGGGCGTCTAGGCACAGAATAGGGTCGTTTAGGTGACCAATGGGAACTTGTTGGTCTCAGGTCAGATAATGGTGACCGTCTACTGCAACTGCGCAGAATACAACCTGTTTCTGACTAGCACTAACTATCGACACAGTCGTCACTGATATGCCACCTGGCGCCGTCCCTCTGCGTCTCAAACCCGGGCTCAGATTGATCACATCGCGATCGGCTACCACTGTGGTTGTGTACAAGACTGCTGCTCTTTTTGGAGTACCTATCTGAACTCTGATGGTGCTCTTCTTTGCCCTACTCTTACCTTACGTTTCACCAAACTCATCGTCATAAACGGATCAATCTCAGCAAATTGGTTACATCTTCTGTTGTAATTAACCAACCTAGGTTCAAGACTGGCTATCAACCCGTCGAAAAGTATAGATGAGCATTGATTGAAATTGTATGACGCCATGAAAATGGTGGGCAAAGTCGCTCGCGGCTTCGCGGGACGTCCCGCTTATAAGTACTGGGTTTCTTCAGTCTCCTTACAGTTCATTGAAGCCCATCAGTCTACTCCGGTTGACTGTGAGTCTAACCACAAACGACGACTGTTACGTAATGAAATTGGGCAAAGCTTGCGTAAAGACCAAGTTGCATGGTGATCGGAGCATGCCAATGAATTGGAAGAAGCAGCTGCATCTGGTAACTGCCGGAAGCTCTTTCAACTGATCTGAGCCACTGGCAACAAGAAGTCTGGTGTGAGCGAAATAATTTGTGAAGATGACGGGTTGCCAATCACTAACATCTACCGACGTCTTGGACAATGGGCAGAGTTTTTCGAGGGGAAGTTAAACTGGTCTGCTGCCCTGACGACATCGATCAGACTGTCCTGTCCTCCATGGCTTGTGACGAATGGTCCACCAAATGCGGCAGAAGTCCGCAAGGAACTCCAAATTTTGAAGCGCTACAAATCACCTGGCCCAGATGACTTACCTCCGACTTTCTTGTTAACGAACTGACTGTGTTGTTTACAAAGGTTTGGGAGCTAGAGAGTGTTCCAACATAATGGGATGAGTCGATAGTTGTCCCTATCTTTAAAAAAGATTCACGTCGCTTCCGTAACATTCTTAGGGAATAAGTCTACTTCCGATTACGTCCAAACCATTAACTTCCGTCATACTTCTTAGGTTGTTCAAAACCCGAGAAAGATTGACTCGCGAGGAGCAGGATGGTTTTCTTTATGGTCGAGGATGTATTGATCATATCTTCACCCTCCACCAAGTGTTGGAACGCCGTCATACTTATTACAGGCAAATAATAGTAGTGTTTAATGACATCAGGGCTGCCTTCGATTCGTTGTATAGGACTGTTCTTTGGGATTGTCTATTGAAGAAGAGTGTTTCTGGGAAGTTTATTAACATCTTAAAAAACCCATGTATAAACACCTCAGGCAGAGTGAGGGCATACAACCACCTTTCTCCATAGTTCCATTCAAGCAATGAGGTTAGGCAGGGTTGCCTTTTAGTGGCTCTATATCTGACTCCATTTGGATCTTATAAACGATCGCTATCAAAGTATACATGTCGCCAATCCTCGCACGTAATTATCGACTTAACTCGCGTTAGTGAATAACGGAATTAAGTCAATTACGAGAATGGGTTTCTGAATACGTATATTTCGTACGATCAGTGGTCGGAAAGCGAAGCAAAATAAAAGGATGCGACTAAGCCAATTTAGGATAATCAAGCGTTAATTGATATTTATAGTCGAACAAAAATAAGGTCCAGATATGTGATGAATAGAATAAAAAGTGCACACACATACGCTCATATAAAAACAGTCAAGGTTGATAAGCGAATAACTGAAAAGGTCACAAGTGACTCAAGAAGAATAAATAATCTGGTCTGTCCGAAAGCTAGAATAAGCTGACACTACAGCCTAATCTTACCATTCCTCTCCAACTTTGCCATCAATGACGTTTTGAAAACAGCTCTGATGGATGTAGGTAACTGTAGTGTGGATCTGTTGTCTGGAGAAAGACTTTTCGACCTTGAGTGCGCGTATGATATTGTCTTGCTGTGCGATGATACCCAAGCCGCGCAGTCCACGCTTAATCTATTGGCAGTCAGTGTCTGTAGGTATGGTATTGGCTCTGCACTTTCGAAGTGCAAAATACTTTTACAAGACTGGAAGAACCCTGGTCCTGCACTCACCGTGGGTAGTGATTAGATAGAAGTATTCGAGAAGCTCGTGTGTCTAGGTAGTTGCATAAGTGCTAGTGATAGCGTGAGTGATGAGATTGATTCAATTATAGTGCGAGCCAGTGATCCTTATGCCAATCTGGGTTGTCTTTGGCGCGTTCGTGATGTTAGTTTGGCTGTAAACGTTCGGATCTACAACACATCGTGAAAGCAGTTTTTCTCTATGCTTGTGAGACCTGGCCTCTCCGAGTTGAGGATGTTAGACGACTCTCTGTGTTTGATCATCGTTGTCTCCGAAGGATTGCTGACATTTGGTGGCAACAGAGGTTTGGGATCGTGTGTTCGGTCACAGCCACGATAATTCAGTTGGTCTCACTATCTTGAAACATCGACTTTGGTCTTTTGGTCTACTATGAGTGTCGTCCCAGAGAATTTCACATCGTGTATTATTTTCTGACTCTGAGATCGGTTTGAAAAAGCGGAGAGGTGGTCAACGTATAACATGGTGTCGTGGTATGGTTAAAAGTTGTATGGGACTGGCTTCTGTTCCTCCATCACGACTCTTTAATTGGAGTCCTTGAGACAGTGCAACATAATGGCTTGAGATGTTATTAAACATGTCTCAGAATAGAAGCCAGCAGAGATCCTGCTGTAATTTTGTTTTACTTTTTTCATAAGTGTGAGAGTAACTTCTTTAACTGAAAGAGCTTCTTCTGGTTGTATTTTTCCGAACTGAACTGTTTCTCCCACAATAATAATATTATTATTTCAGCCTTATACACTAATTCCTATCTGTTTTTTAAAACATTTTTATTATACTCACCTTTTTCTATCACTTCACAACCTAATTGTTATTGTTTGGCGCATATTTGGTTCACCTTGTATTATTGTCTATGTTCATATTAATAAATACACATCAACAAACACCATAGTTACGTAGTTTTTCAACCACCGTTTCATATTGTTGACAATATCTCTCTTAGAAATCATGCATTTCGGATATTCACTTTCGTCTTTCACATTATATTTTCAATGAAGTTCACTTCCCATCTGTAATTTGGGTCATTTTACTCACATGGTTATCTTGAGTAAACATGGAATTAACAAAATTTATAAAACATTTTGAGAGAAAACCCACTGAATCAGAATGCTGCCATTACGTATTACATAAAATCATTTTGACCAGCAATTCGTAAAATTATTAGTATAATTCGAGTCAGTGTCTGTAAATCTTCAGTGACAGATTAGTTTGATGTCAGTGGTTCAAATGCTTCTAACTTTTTATTTTCCTTTAAGGTCTTCCTGTTTTAGCGCTTGCTACTCGAACTCTTCCGGTCGAGTTAGAGCTTATAGTGAACTTTCTTCCGAATTGGTTACTTCAAGTGTTGTTCGTTAGGGTTATCATCTTTCCCGGTTTTGGTTTAACTTTGTCTTAGACATGTTTCCAGAGATAACAATTTCATCGTCTGACGTTTTGGGGATTGATCTTCTACCAGAAGATAGACATGTTGACTTTGAATACCCTGATGACATAATTCCATTTGGTGATGACACTGATAAAATCTGAGTCGTCTGATCACCTGAATCAACAGTAGAAGCATATTTGCGATGCAGTTTTCTTCCTCCAAATATAAATGTTACTTCAAGGTCAGCTTGCGTCATCTGCTGAGTTTGTGATAGGGAGTGAAAGAGTTGTACACATCGACTTCACTTGTCTTGAGAGTCTGGTGTCTGACTAAATCTCGGCACGGATTCAAAAGGCTCGATTGGCTTTTGGTAACTTGTTTCACTTATGGCATAGGCGAGATATCCGTCTTCTGACCAAAGGGCGAGTTTACTGAGCAGCAGTTTGCTACGTTCTACTTTATGATGTGAAACATAACCATTAAGAAAAGTAGAGGATATTCATAGGTTACTGATATTCGATCATTTGTGTTTATGAATCTTAGCTCGTGTATTGTGGGGTCACGCACTATGCAATGTCTGGGACAGGAAGAGAATATTAAATAAAGATGAGAAGTCGATGGATGAAGTGGTAAATCTCCATCAACTGAGGTGGTTGGGACAGTTTACGAATGTCCATCCACCGCCTACCTCGACGGGCAATGCTTTCTAGTGAAGGAGTAGGCTGGAAAATAGCTAGGTGCGGCCGAATCAAAAAATGGCATCAGCCCATAAGGTCTCTGATGATTAAACTTGTCCATGTTAATGGGTGTAGACAACCTGGCTTGACTTTTAATTAAATGTCTCGAAATCGTTTGGAAAAGCGCAGGTGAATCCAATCTTTGTCTTCCCTTAAATCTTGAGATTCTAAATTCATAATATTTTTTTCGTTTCGCTAATTTACATATTCTTTTCGAGTCGTACCTACGAAGCCTAATCCGTGCTATTATCACTAATATTGTTGCTACCTACTGTTTTAGCATTTGGCCTGACAATTTCATCTCTGTGCTAATGTGGTATAGTAACTTGAATTGATATATGTACGTATAGGTTCTACGTTGTGACTGACTTACTGAAAGTTTATTGTAAATCTGCACAGTCAAAACCAGGTAATATAGATGTTGACAACTTATTTGCTGATAGTTGTACTCTTAGATAGTTTGTTTCTCTCTATCTCAGTGTGCTACTTTACATTTCTATCTTACTCAAATTATCTTTTGAAATTTTGTTTTGTTACTGTTTTAGAACTCAAGAATCTCTCACACTGATGCAGGTTTGTCATAGTAACGCACGTAGGCAGCATGCAACTGATTTTAATTCCAATTCGAAATGTATGTCTTTACCACAGAAGGTTGTTAGCACTTTCCCGGAAACTCTTCATTATGTTACTTCGAATATTATTGATACTCGAACTGCATTGTCTACACAAATTAACAGCCACCCGTATCATCAAGCCAATCACTCATCTAACTGTCGGGCTGATGCTAGAGCTGCATACTATGCCGCGGCAGCAGCAGCGGCGGCTGCGTTTTCGGCGAAATCAACTTCACAGCTCATTCCAATTCCTAATAGTAATTCATCCAGCTTCCCATGCTTGCATCAGTACTCTTCACTGAATGCTATCAATGAAACTAATCATGTGTCTCTTCCTGCTACAGAATCTAGGAATGTATGCCCAGTCATTGAATGTACTCCTGCAACTATAATTATTTCTCAAACAAATCTGAGGTTTGTGCGAGACCGAGTCAAGTAACTGCTGATAGTTTACCGGCAACATATGCTTCTCCAATGCAACGTTCTCTTTCGTTCTACGACTTGGTAACTGCTGGTGGTGCTGGTAGTGCATTATCCCTACTAAATGCTGTCACCGCACCTGCGCCATCACCATTTTTAATTAGTAGCTCCATTCCAGCTCCAAGAGTGCAGCCACTGAGTTGTGTCTCGACAAACTCTTCGCAAACAAACCATATCCGACAAATGCTACATCATCCTCTCCATTCTGTTTATATTCAACCTGAACTCAGCAGGTTATCTGAAGGTGACAATTCATTTATGTTGGATATTGTAGGTCGAGAAAAAGGTAATGGGGCTTGTACTGCTCGTCAAGAGTCCATTGATGTGGCGTGTAAACCGAATACTGGTTTATGTGATACTCTGTGTGCTTTAGTAAATCAGCAACATTTATATCAATATCCCGCAACTGCTGTTGCAGCCTTAGCTGTGGCTCATCACCAGCAAAATTTCAACAATAATCAAAAACATCCCTCTACTTTATTTAAGTCCACCCGCAGCAGTGGATCTGAGTTCGTTAACAATGTCTCCAGAAGATGTAGTGAGTGTCATGGAGCTTGTCCATCACATTTAGTCAAAGGTCCATTGATTAATTCGAGAATCAATGAGATAGTTCGAACGGACCTTAATTGTTCTGTAAGTGTTATTGTGTTTTGAGTTAATTACTCGTTATAAGGTTTTTGAAGATGACTACTTTTATTCTAGGCATCTGTTTTTTATGTGTTCATAACTTTGTTTCATTTTGAATTAAATGTAGATCTGTATTCCTAAAAATGTTAATATTAGATGGATTTAGAAATTTCAAAAACAGCTCTACTCATATCAATGTATAAGTTATGGTTAGCATTAAAGTAAATGAGTACCATATTCAAGGTATGAGATCACATAATATTTACGGAAGTTGAACGTTTCTGGTTTTGTGATATCTCACATAACTAATTGTCAACAAAAGAATGATTGTTTATATTACTCCATGGTTGACAAGTTGGTTCATCGACTTGCGAGATTTAAACGTGATAAGGATTGATAATAGAATTTTGTCGCTTATTCGTGTCCCTCACAGTGTTAACGAGCTGAATTTTTGTATGTAGATTCATATAAGTTGGATAACGATAAACATTTGAAGCTGTGATAATTTATTGAGTCACTGATTTGAATTTATCTAGTGCCCTTACAATGCTTCATGTTGATTAGCTGAGTGATGATCTGCGTACAACAAAACCTGCCACACTATAGTCATACTTACATGGTGTTGCTAATATATCCAATCATGTTTAGGTGACGAAGACGGAGCTTCATAATTCATTAAGTATATTCAAACATTTCGCACTACAAAATAAGCTAGTTAAAAACAACTAAATACAGAAGAAAACTCACAATACATTAATCACGTACTCAGTTTTACTTGTAACATATATATCATAATTATGGTCAATCCTGTGGAATTTACTAGTACACTGATTAGTTGTTGACTTATCCTATGAAAATAACAAGGCAAAACCTATCCAAATAAAAATAAATCAGACAAATTTTGAGACGGACATCTCACATGATTTCCTTTGCCATAGTCAAATAGTAATAAGTTCAAAAGTCAGGGAGTATTTAGCCCATGTTTTACGTTGCCTGTGCAACATCTATCAAGAGATAGGTCTACTTCTAATTGCGTCCAAACTATTGACTTCTGACATAATTCATAAATTGTTTAGAGCCCGTGAAAGATTGACTCGTGAGAAGCAGTCTGGTTTTTTTCTGGTCGTGGATGTATTAGTCATATCTTCACTGTAGACTAGATGTTAGAACACAGCCATCATTATTGAAGTCCAACGATTTCTACGTTTCTTGATATCAATCTGTCTTAGATTCCTCATACAGGATTGTTCTCTGCAATTGTATGTTAAGGAGTTATGTTCTTGAGAAGTTTATTCATCAGTTGGTAATCAGTATCGGTAGGTGTGGCATATTTTTTCACCCGAGTTCAAAGTACTTCTATAAAACTGAGAGAAACCTGTTCGTTCACTCACTTGTTAAAATTAGTTGAAAAATTTGTATTTTATTAGCTCCGTAAATAGCCTGAATTATGAGACCAGTTCACGTATAGTGAAATTCAGAGCGGTTTATGCTACTGTCTATCTTGGCACTGTCGTGATGCAAGTCTGGGTGAAGTTGTTGGATATACAACATGCCGGTGAGAGAAATTTTTGTATGCTTGTGAAATTCCATATACGGGTCGAAGGTTTTTTACGACATTCTGGGTTTGACCATCGTTTTCTCCAAATGATTGTTGATGTTTGGTGGTAATATCATTTTGTAGTGCTGAAGTTCGTGACCGAGTATTATGTGGTTTTTTTGTTTGCCTTCCTATATTTAGTTTGTGAGTTTTAACTTCTGTTGTCCTACTACTGGCATAGTTTTTTTCTGTAAGTTTACTTCATATAACTATGAATGCTAACTTTCTGTATTTTAAGTGGTATCGCGTTTCTCTTAAATCTACATTCATCTAACTGTTTTTATTAATTGTATTTCTTGAAGCGTGCTCCAATGTATGAAGTTCATGGATCGGTAACTCAACAATCTCTGTCACGCCAGGACTCTACTTCATTTCATTATCAAGATCAACAACCTCACATGGTCAACCATAGCGATGTCCACAAACATTCTGTTGCTCAAGTCCAACCGAGCAATCCTTTTGTGAATGATACAGATTGCATGCCTATGAATTTAGTAACAAACAACTCAGAACCAGTTGTAAATAATGCTGTCAATTTGTCAATGCTTCCTCCAAGTATGTTTAAATGTTATTTTGTCATCGAAAACTGAAATCTAAGTGTCCTCAGTGGATGCCGATTTTCTGTTAAGTTGTTTGTACACATTCTGCGTCCATTTTTTTTACAATTGATTTAATAAAAACATACAGTCACATATTGTTGACTGAGGAAGTTACTTTTAAACTAATTGAATTTGTTTACAGATGATAAGTAGTTATCATTCAACAAATTCCAAATATTTGTTTACTGTTTGTTTCTTTAATTAACCACTTTCTATAGTCTCCATATTTGTTGTATGTGTGTCTCTTTAGTAACATTTTTGTGGTCATTGTATTGCATAGAATCTTATCATATTAATGTTTTTGTTTTTACTTTTTGTTAGGTTCTTCATATAACTCCAATCGCATGAAACGTCAGTCTGTCGCTATAAATTCTAGTTCTGAGAATGTAGATAGGATTTCTCATAGTTTAGTTCAACATGATACATTTAGCTGTCCTTCAGAAATTATATCAAATCCTAATGCTATCAAATCGGATTGTGGATTTCCGGGGTAAGTTTGAATGTTTAAAAGGTTTTATACGAATATTCATCAAGTTTGGGCGCCGAGTATAGAGATCACCAAGTCCCACAAATCTCTGAATATTCATTATATGTGAAAATTATATCTAAAATAATCTCAGAGATTGAGATTTAAATAATTCCAACGTTTCGTCCAGTTAACTTGTCTGGATAAAAGACAACAAAAAGTCAGTAGTGTTATTGAAAAGACTGGCCCAGATGAATTACCACCGGCTCTTTTTAAAGATGGTGGTGACTTTCTGACTAAGGAACTGACGACGTTGTTTACAAAGGTTTGGGAGCTAGAGAGTGTACCAACATAATGGGATGAGTCGATAGTTGTCCCTATCTTTAAAAAAGATTCACGTCGCTTCCGTAACATTCTTAGGGGATAAGTCTACTTCCGATTACGTCCAAACCATTAACTTCCGTCATACTTCTTAGGTTGTTCAAAACCCGAGAAAGATTGACTCGCGAGGAGCAGGATGGTTTTCTTTATGGTCGAGGATGTATTGATCATATCTTCACCCTCCACCAAGTGTTGGAACGCCGTCATACTTATTACAGGCAAATAATAGTAGTGTTTAATGACATCAGGGCTGCCTTCGATTCGTTGTATAGGACTGTTCTTTGGGATTGTCTATTGAAGAAGAGTGTTTCTGGGAAGTTTATTAACATCTTAAAAAACCCATGTATAAACACCTCAGGCAGAGTGAGGGCATACAACCACCTCTCTCCATTGTTCCATTCGAGCAGTGGGGTTAGGCAGGGTTGCCCAATCTCACCATTCCTCTTCAACTTTGCCATCGATGACATTCTGGAAACAGCTCTGGTGAATGTAAGTAATGGTGGTGTGGATCTGTTGCCTGGAGAAAGACTTCTCGACCTTGAGTATGCGGATGATATTGTCTTACTGTGCGATAATGCCCAAGCCATGCAATGCGCACTTAATCAGTTGGCAATCAGTGTCTGTAGGTACGGTATGTACTTTGCACCTTCGAAGTGCAAAGTACTTCTACAAGACTGGCAGGATTCTAGTCCTGTACTCACTCTGGATGGTGAGCAGATAGACGTAGTCGCGAAGTTTGTGTATCTGGGTAGCTGCATAAGTGCTGGCGTTTGTTTGAGTGATGAGATCAATGCACGAATAGTGAAAGCCAGAGCGGCTTATGCCAATCTGGGCCATCTTTGGCGCGTTCGCGATGTTAGTCTGGCTGTAAACGTTCGGATCTACAACACATCGTGAAAGCAGTTTTTCTCTATGCTTGTGAGACCTGGCCTCTCCGAGTTGAGGATGTTAGACGACTCCCTGTGTTTGATCATCGTTGTCTCCGAAGGATTGCTGACATGCAGTGGCTGCTCCATTTTAATAATGCAGAGGTTCGGGATTGTGTGTTCGAGCGCAGAGACGATAATGCAATTGGTGTCACTATCTTGAAATATCGACTTCGGTGGCTTGGACATGTTCTACGAATGTCGTCCCAGAGAATTCCACGTCGTGCATTATTTGCCGACTCTGGGACTGGTTGGAAGAAGCGGAGAGGTGGTCAGTGCATGACATGGTGTCGTGGCATGAAAGAAAGCTGCAAAGGACTGGCTTGTGTTGGTCCTTCACGGCTCCTGGTTGGGGTCCGAGAGATGGTGCGACACAGTGACTAGAGACGTTATCAGATATGGCTCAGAATAGAGCCAGTGGCGATCCTGCTGTAACCTTCTTTTACTTTCTTCATAAAAAAGTGGTTGTGTCTTCCTTAACTGAAAGATTTCTTGTGATTGTACCTTTCCGTTGCCCCGTTTTTACCATTATTATTAATACGCCACCTTACATCAATCTCTTATTGTTCTTTTTTTCCTTCCCCTTAAATTCTCATTGTTTTGTGTGGCGCATATATGTTTGGCGCATTCTTGTACCAATATTTTGTGTTCAAATAAATAAATAAATTGAAAAGACAAGTTTGAAGTAGGAAAACTACGTATATGTCGCCATAAATAACCTAATTTCTGTTGTTTATTTACTCTGGAAAACTGGCTTACATTAAGTCACGAACGTCGGAAATACAACTTTCATACTCATTGGGATGTAACAAATATATATTCATTATTGACTCTAATCAAAGCTCAATTTTTTGAAACTATGAAGTCTAACCGTGGTATTGATACCTACTTACTAGCTGTTTTTTACGATAGCTTTGCAAGTTTAAACTTTTTTTTTTGGTAATTGAAATTGTCATTTTCCTATTAATAAGCTTCTAATTCGTTTTCACGATTTCTGCGCATTTGTTAGCTTGGATTAATCACATTTTTGGTATCTACCAATTACTATTATCTTACAGAATTATCTTTTGAATAGCCCAGGCTAATAAAGAAAGGGTTATTGTTGTATTTAAGTGTTTGAATCATAACTAAGAGGCGCTATGTTTGTATTAGGAAACATTACATCCAGGCTTTTCTCAGCCAGCAAAACATAATACACATTTACCAGCTTTTGTGTTGCTAATGGTTTCGTGTATTCAACTGAAATTATTTGTTTTTAACGGTTCGAAATGGTAATATACTCATCATCACTCATGTCTCTAGTTATGCTTAGTTCTTCCTATCATTTATTTCATGAATAAGATTAATAATAATTCGGCAGCCAATTTACAGCTTTGTGTAAAGTTCTTCAAACTACGACTTATGCACATTAAAAGTACTCCTGAAATAAATGCAAAATCGAAGTAAAATGGCGTCCAAAAATGAGGTGAAAGATGTCTGTTTTAGCTGTCTGATCATCACTTCACGTGTACCATAAATTAGTTACTGTTACAAGTAATTAACTTCTTTAATTTGTTTAAATTTGTAAATTATTTTGGGAATATATTTTGTAACTTATCTTAGGGCGTACAAGTCAACCTTCGATTTGATGTGCCAACAGCGTTCCGATAAAAAAGTAGGTTCATTTTCATGGTTATTTCTAATATCTTGATGTGAATACGTGTAGTCTTAAAACACATCCAAACTATGAATAAGATTTCTAATAATAATAGTTAACTAAATTTATACGTTCTTACTGACTTTGTTACGTGAATCCCAGAGCCCTACTCAGGCGTATCGTAATTTCGATGCGAGTAGACTTACCTTATCCTTACAACTTTTCGTACACCATAAGTTAACTAGGCATTCACTTTTTGTTTTGGTTCATGAATTTCGGTTTCAATATAGTTTTCACTTAATAGATGTAATCCATTGTTTACTTCTCGCCAGTTAGTGGATTGTTAGCGTAGGCACTGGTATCGTTTTTGGTTTTTATATCTTCTATCCAAAAAATTATGTAGAGATATTGTTCCAACAACTATCTGAATCTAAATTTAGACGTATGCTAGCAAAAAGTTTACTAAATTGTTGTGAGCAATGGTGGAAAACGAAAAGCCGATCTCCATAATGAATACTGGGGAAATTTCCAGTCTCGTCTAAGGAACATTTATTAAAAAGTCGTCTGATATTGATCTTATTCCGGAAAAAATTGCAATCGTGATTTACTCACTTTTGTGACAGCTATAAAGTAATCAGCCTGATCAATAGTGTTTAAAATATTAGCCGCCAGAGTTTAAATATTCTAAATGGGGCTGGGATACAGCAAACCCGGGATAAACAATGTAATTTTAGACCTGACTAAAGATATTGAACAAATCTTCACCCTTGGGCATGTTTTAGAACAAATATGCATAACGACGGTCGACCATAATATCTCTTGAAGTGAAGGCTTCATTCGACCAAGTTGACCGAGTTGTGTTGCGGCGATGTTTTTCTTTGGAGGATGTACCGAGAAGTACGTAAACCTTCTGAAGGCTATTTACCCGAACCTACCATTCTCATTCTTATTTATTTTTCTGTTAAATATCTTAATAGAAATTACAATTTCTTCACCTACCTTTCTGAATTATATGACGTAAAACATGTCCTGTTCAATGAAGAAGACGGTGAAAAAATGCAGTTTTCTAAGTCTTGAAAAAGTGTACTTTATTTCTTCCACTTTTAGACCTTCAACTAATCCTTAGATCATACGTTATATATATCTGACAATCACTTCTCATGGCACGAAATGCTGTTCGAAAGCTAATAGTGGGTGAGTGTAGATTGCGTAATTGGGATCCACTCATTAACTGGGTGTTAGCGGGACATAGACTGGATTAAAGCATGCTCAATGCATGATTGCTTTGGTGCACGCTGATTGGCTAATTCTTATCCAATCAGGACTAGTCGATATTTGGAGAATACTCTGGAATCTTCTTATGTGAAAACTATAAATATACTGACGTTTTCCCTATTGTGCTTCTGACTTGCTTCTTACTTCCATCTAACCTTGTTATTTGGAATATAATCTCTTTCCTGTTCAACCGTGTTCTGATTTGGGGACTTGTCGAGTGATTTGGTGTCCGAGAATACTAAGCAATAGGAATAGCTGGGTCATAACCGTAAGAAAAGAGATTATAACACTGGGGTTATTGATTGAAGTGACTGTGATATAGTTAATAATCACTGTTGTGGGACAGATACATCCATTTTTTGACAGACTAAACGTTATGGCTGGAAAACTGTTGTCATAATCATTACTATCTACGTAATAAATTAAGCACTTATTTACGGAACTTTTATAAACAATACAGATTCATACATTCATTTTCCTCTCACACTGAATTCGTTTTGGATTTCGACAGCTATCAGTCCACTGTTATATTTATCTTTCCAAATTCTATCTAACAAAGTTATATCAAATACAAATAATGTAGCTAGTCTCTTCCTAACTGTGATATTGTAATTGTGCTTCGATGACTGGTTGTTGTCTCTGGTTGCAATCAGGTAGTCACTGACTTAGATTTCTTGAGACGCCACTTTATTTAAAGAGTTGTAAGTGTAGACATCATAAAAGCTAAAACAAAAATGTATGCTCGAATTGTACAAGTAAATAGAGTCACTCTCCCTTTCACGTAAAAGATTCTGCTTACGAATCAGTACTCAAATATATAATATAATATTTTGGGATTTTTATGTAGTAGATTAAATTACTTGTTCTTTCGATCATTTTAATTTTAGTACCAGTTGGTCGCGTTCAACCGATGATAAAACAAGAGGATTCAAGTCATTTACATTCCTCCAGTCGACCTGTATCGTCACCTGTCAACTATATACCACCTAGTCGAGAGTCTGTTGTCTGGGGATCAAATCCAAGTTTGTTTGTATTTACGTCACCTTTCCATCAGCAGTCGGTGAATACTAATAATTCCATTCCTCAAAAGTTATGTAATCATTTCACTAATGATATATTTCCATATAATACTCAGCAACCAATAGAATATATATCTAATCGTAGAAGTGTACGTAAAAATCCTCAGTTATCCATTACAAGGGATGATCAACATGTTGTACAATCAAATAACCAATTATCGGCTGCTCATGCGGCCGCTGCAGCCTATCATAATTTAATGTTTTTTCAGTTACAACAACAACAATTGCAACAACAAACTCAACAACAACTTCAACATAGTCTTATCACTGGAATTCCTACTGTCTGCCAAACTAATATGCCTGATCATTGTAATGAGACATACCAGCATTCACAGAGAGTGCTATCTGGCGGTTGGAATACTGGTTGCCGTGATTTTGTTGAACATTCGTCGGGTGCTGTTTAATAATTTCAAGAGATCACTTCCTACGTACACATGCGGAGATAGAGTTGCATATGCGTTTATTATCATTAAAACGAGTCACTTTGGATACAGATATTTTTCTCTGGTATGTAGCTCTATAAAAGTTGTGGTTTTTTCCATACCATCACACAATTATTGCTTCCACTCACGTAGTCATTATATATATATATATATATATATATATATATATATTTCTCTACCTCTGTCTTACTAATTTTTTTAGTCTGATTGGTTTCTTCTTATCTTTATCTTTATTTATATTTGTCTGGTGTTAGTTCGTATTGTTTAATCCTTGCACAGCATTCCCTTAAATTTGCTCATTCTAAACTACAGTAATTAGTTTGTGTAATCTTGTTTTCTCTATTTTTTGCACATGTAAATTTAGAGTCAGAACTTTTATTTAATTTATGGATTATTTAGTCTCTCCCACTTGTATATATACATATTGGATACTTAGTTTCAGATGAATGAATGTTGACTGTAAATGTTTAGTAATGGTACTTAGTTTCTTTTTGTGTGTTTGTGAACGGGAATTGTCTCATCTCTCTCTCCATATATATATATATATATATATATATATATATATATATATATATATATATACCCTTTAATCTTCTAATCTTACGTAATCTGTAACATTTCACAAGAACATGCATAAGAATTATTTGTTCTAGTTTCAGTATATTGATTCACTGGTTATTATATTGCCAAATACTGTGATTTCCTATTTTTTTGGTGGAATGGATGGTGATTGTTTAACAATAATTTTAGCCTTATTATTATCAATGTACTTCAGTCTTATGAAATTTTCATAAATATTATATATTATCAACCACAGCTGGTTGAGTGTTGACTGTTAAGTAAAAGTTCACAAAAATTGATGTTTTGTTCATTCATTTAAAGTGCAGTTCTACGTGGCTTGTGACAGGTATAGGTAATGAAGTTTGATCAAATATAGTAGTGCTAATAATAGCGTTCATTCAGTTTTGATGAAACGTTTCATTGTGTTCTTGATCTTGAGGCTTTTAATCCATTCATATCAATTATTCATAAAAGTTTAAGAATATCGCGAAAGAACTGTTTATGTTCAACGGAAATTAGTTTTTTTTTCCAGAAAGAGTTTTATGTTTATTCAAGTTTAAACATGAAATTACTAAGTTATCAATTTACAAAGTTTGACCGAATCACGAGCGAAATACATGCTTTTTGGAAACTCTTCATCTTTCAGTAATTCCTGTGTGTACTTTAACAATCATTTGTTACTTTTCAATACAAATTAGTTTCTATTTGTTTGATTAAGTGCTATGGTCTCTCATTTTAAACCTATGCAACTCGTGATATTTTATACATGAGCTGAAGTATATACTAGATTAAAGTACAACATATTTCGAAATAATTTCACTATGTTGTAATCAGAAACGAAGTTATATTGCTAACAGTTGATACCAGTGTTATACATCGGCCTTCGTTGTTCAACTAGTAGTCGTTATGAAACACAGCTTTACAGTATATGCTAGAAATCGATGCGAATTGACTATATTGATGCACTGTTGCAGTTTCAGAAAAAAGAATTATTATTAGCTGTTACGGCTGAGAGTGTGGTTAGTCCACTCTTCCTCTCTAAATGCTCTTAAACGGACACATATACAAAGTCACGGCCAGAAAAGTCTTACCCACTTCCGTATCACGACATCGGTGTTTATAAATTGGAAGGATGAAAAGCGACCATCTGGAGCTTAACCTCGGTTATTACGGTGCATCCGCCTAGAGGAACCGGGAAAATCAGGTTCCAAAACAATGGTGTACATTGGCTCCAGGATTCCGAGGAAACAAATGGCGTATGAATCTATTGTTGGTCATCGGCTACTGTGGGACTGCATCTCCTAGCGTTGCTCCACTACCTTGTGGATTATACCTTTAGGTTAAAGGCTCGGGTAGTGTCCTTATAAAATCACTTGTTTCGGTTTGAGCACCCCGGACGGTATCTCAGCCCACACACAAGTTCAATTGTTTGTGTGGCGCATGTTTATTGTGGTGCTTCTTAGTACTAATGATCAAGTAAATAATGGTAGACGTATTGTTTTAGTCAGTTCTCATGTTTTTTTTATCAGAACACAGTGGGATGAAAAGATGCTATCCGAAAAGTGGCCTAATTATTTGACATGCAATCGTAATCTGCTTATCTTGGACTATATTTTGTCAAATTTGCATAAACCGTTTTATTTCATTGGTGTTAATTTTCCAAAATTGGATACCCATTATAATAAGGCTTACGCAATTAGCCGATTATTATGAAGTATAATCGTGAATAAATGGCATTTAATTCCCAGTACCGATTATCTCAGCTTTGGAGACTTATATATTGATTAGAAAATTCATCAGGTCCAACCCGAACTGTTAGTAAGCACTTGATCTTTATACTAATATTCGCAATCGATCTAAGCAGCGAAATATGTAAAATTTCGGAAAATTGTCCAAAATAGCTGTAGAAACAGGAAATATATTATTTGAAGATTTGTGACCCAAAGTAAAATTTGAATTCGTACAAAAAGTCTAGTTTATTTATATAATCAATATTTTAACCGAAGTCGAGCATGCAAACATAAAGATGGGTCGTCTTCAATATCTTGATTGTTCATTCAATTCGTTGAATAGTTTGTATTGTTACTAATGTTGAGTTGGTCTTCGAATTTTATAAACTGGTCTATATATAGAAATACATTAATTAAATAATTATTATTGTACTTCATAATTTTATGTGTTTAGTTCACATAGCATAGTTTTTGTAGTTAGCATCATAAATGAATACGTTACCATTTTTAAGGTGAACTGAAAGATTTTGTTTTAGAATTTGTTATTGTATTAAATAGGTCAGCTAGCTTGTAAATTATTTCTGTTTTTCTCTTCTGGACATACTAGTCTATTCATTAAAGGATTGTATATTGTGATATGAAAAGTTTATCACAACATAGATCTGTTCGGACATACTTTTGATTTGTACGGTTCTAAGTACATCAGAAAATGATCACTAAGACTTTGAACGTTTTGTACGGAGTATGGTTTTATCTCTTCTGATTTCAAGATATAATAGAAAGAATAATTATATTAGTAAGAATTTATGTAGTGGAATCGAAGCTTTGATGTAGATGGGTTTACACATATTTTCATTCAGTAATTAACATAATCACCTTATTTACTGAGAGCTGTAGATCTAAAGAGGGTTATGTTGTATTAACCCACAGCAATGTTTAGTTATAGAATGATTGGTAGTGATCTTGGGACGCGTAAAATGAAGATGTCCATTGAGTGTTGCATTGACAAACATGGCATTAAAGATTTTTCTGAGTACAGAAAAAGCAAAATTTATTTGCAATATATTTAGTTGTTAGTAGTTTGATTGCAAAATTGCCGTTATCATTCTGGACAACACTATAGGATACGGTTACATTAACGATAGGAAATGCTGAGCTATATGGTGCTGTTGTGTACACTGATCTCACGTATTATTTATTGCCTACAATACATAACTCAGCTGTAATCATTCAGTTTGTTATGCTGTATCTCAGTAATCTTTCTAATGAATAATAATGTATTTTAACATTATTTAACCTAAAATTTTTGTCTACATGCATTTGTACACATATAATAGTTCTATCCATACAACTCATCGACTGACTAAATGAGATTTCATATCTAATCTTTAAAATAGTTTGTATAAAGTTGGAAAGAATGAAAATATATTAAAGTGGATCAAATAGACTGATTTAAATGTGAGGTAAAATATATTCTAATTTTTGCAAACTGCTTGTTTTTTAAAATTTATCAACAAAAATTCTGAACATATAAATCCTTGTTCTTACTGGTTTTACTGTAGATGTCATATAAGTAGTACAATTTAATTAAGGAAAATCCAAGTAAGGAACTCCAGATCAGTAAAACATGAATTTTACTCAACTTATGCAAAATTTGCTTGTAAATATAAATAAATGTCTGTCATAAAATGTTTTTAAAATCTCGATAATGATATTAGAAGACGAAGATTATCAGAACTATGTGATATATTAGCGCAATACATTTCACATATAATGTACCAAAATGGTTGCAGAAACAGATACAATCAAGTGACCCAATAAGAACAGAGGATAAACATCCATCATCCTCTATTGCTAAACATATAATTGAAACAGGTCACAAGATTGATCTAAATTCAGCTTTTGTAGTGCTGTATAAAAGTGTAAAAGGGCGTATACTAAGGTTCATTGAAGCCTTAGCCATACGAAAATCCAAACCCCCTTTATGTGTTCAAAAACAGTTTGTTCTTACCTTAAACTTACCCTGGTAATATTGACTTATTATCCAGAGTGATTAGGTTTCGCTTTGTGTTCACATTATTATTATTATTACTCTTATCATTATCCTTATCTCCTCTTACCCTGTTTCCTGTCTAGTTGACCTTTTATTTTTATATATAAATGCTCTTAACAAGTATATGTGTGACCAGATTGTTCGAAATGTATTGCGCTAATATATCAC